CTGGGAGGGAAATGGAAAAAAAATATATATATATATGGGGGGAAAAAAAATACATATATATATGGGAAAAAATTATATTTTTATATATGGGGAAATGATATAGAGAGATCTAGATATATGGGGAAATGTTATGGATAGTTACAGGTATATAAATAGCATATATATTTAATTTTAATATATATGAGAAAATGTTATAGACATCTATACATGGGAAAAGTGTTTTATGTGTATATATGGGGAAAAATTTTATATATATGGGGAAAATTTTATATATGGAAAAAATTCAATATATATGGGAAAAAAATTATATATATGTATGGGAAACATTTTTTAATATACCTATGTAGGGGAATTTTTTTTAATATACCTATGTAGGGGAATTTTTTTAATATACCTATGTAGGGGAATTTTTTTAATATACCTATGTAGGGGAATTTTTTTAATATATCTCTATATGGGAATTTTTTAATATCTATATATGGGAAAAATGTTATAACAATACGGGGAACTTTTTTTTATATATGGGGAAAATTTATATACATATGGCAAATTTTTAAATATATATATTTGAGGAAATTCTGTATAAATATGTGTAGGAAAGGGGCAGAATTCCCAGTCCCTCCCCTGCCGAGGCAGACGGATCCTCACTGTCAGGTCTGGAGCATCCCGGCACTTCCAGGTCACTGCTCAGGGGAGGAGCTCTGCCTTCCCCTCCTCCCCGGCTTTTCCTTCATTTCCCTCCTCCCCAATCCCAAAACTGCCACAAATTCTGGATAAATCCTGTTTTCCTGCTTATTCCTCCTCTCCAATCCCAAAACTGGATTGGGATTCCTGCCACAAACTCTGGATAAATCCCATTTTCCTTCACGTTCCTCCTCTCCAATCCCAATACTGCCACAAACTCTGGATAAATCCCATTTTCCTTCACATTCCTCGTCTCCAATCCCAAAATCCGGTTGGGATTCCTGACACATTCTGGGTTAATCCCATTTTCCATCACGTTCCTCCTCTCCAATCCCAAAACTGGATCTGGATTCCTGTAACAAACTCTGGGTTAATCCCATTTTTCACCTCCAGCAGCTCTGGGAGATCAACATCAACATTTAGGGCAGGATTTCCCCCAAATCCAGTTTTTAAGGGATAAAACCCCGCCCTGGGGGTCCAAGGTGAGCAGCCCTGACCTCACCTGGAATTTTCCTTCCTGCAATCCCCGGAACAGAGCGAGGCTGGTGAATCACACAGGAAATTCCTGCCTTGGCAGGAAACCCCAAATTCCTGCGTTTGGGCACCAGTTCCAGATGCCCAAGGGCGCATTTTAAACTGGGCTCACCCCAAGGAGGAGCTTTGTCTTTTTTTATTGAGGTTTTGCCTTATTTTTCTGGGTTTTACCACTTTTTCCCCAGGTTTCCCTCCCCCCTTTTTTTTCCTTTAGGTTCTGCCACGTTTCTTTTCCCAGGTTTTGCCTCTTTTTATTGTTTGGGGTTTTTTGTTTGTTTGGTTTGGTTTTTGTTGTTGTTTTTGAACCCCAAACCCAAGAGCTCCAGAGCTTTTTCCCACTTCTCTTCCAAGCTTTCCCCTCCCAAGGCCTCATTCCCACAAAATCCCTCCCTGACAGCCCAAACCCACCTGGATCAGCCCCCCAAAAACATCCCAAAATTCTCCAAGCACATCTTTGGTCTTGAGCGTGGTGGGATGTCCCCACCCCAGCCCAATCCCTGGATCAGGCTCAGCATTTCCTGGGAAAAGAGGGAAAAAATCTCCTCCTACGTCCTCAAAAAGTGGTTTCCTTCCCAGTTCTGCAGAAAATTCCAGCAGATCTGGAAGAATCCGTCCCAGAGGGCAAAGATGGGGATATCCTGCACCAAGCCCTGGCTCTCCTCGGAGCCGAGCGCTTCTGACCCAGCTCTGGGAAATCCCGCTCCTGACTCCCTGTTCTGGGAATTTCCGGGATGGTTTTCCATCCATGACTGAATTCATGATGTTTCATCAAACCTCTGGTGGCTTTCTCAAACAAAACCACCAAATTTTGCCTCCTCAAATCCAAAACCCCCCCAAATTTTCCCAGCTAATTTCCTTGCCGAGCCCCGCAGACCACACCGAGCACATTCAAACAAAGTTTACTGCAGCCAGACCACCTGAAAATGAAGTCGATTTTCAACCAACAAAAAGGATTTTTGGGCTGTGCCCTTGGTGCCTCTGGGCCCAGCAATCCCAAAATGGAGCCCACCAGGGTTAAAAGGTGATTCCAGAAGGATTTTCCCAGTGTGGATGTGAGCGGAGAGTCCCAGACTGGTTTGGGTTGGGGGGGACCTTGGATCCCACCCCAGCCCTGCCGTGGGCTGGGACACTTCCACTGTCCCCAGCTGGGCAGAACATTCCCATGGAATTCCCTGCGTGACCCAACTCCCCAGTTTTGGAGAAATTCCCACTCTGGGAAGGCTCCTCCCCTGTTCTGGGCTCTGGAGGAGGGAAAGCAGGACAAGCTTCTCCAAAGGAAGCACCCTGCTCCCGCCTCCCCAGCACCCCAGCTCCTCCCTGAGCAGCATTCCCAAACTTCCCGAGAGCCTCCAACGCCCTGGAGAGGCAGCAGGGCGTTCCAAAGGAGCCAAACCCGTCCCGTGCCCGCACGTTCACCTCCTCCCGGGGCACCTCCGAGTGCTCCACAACCCCAGGGAGCATCCAAACCCCTCTGGATCCATCCGTGCTGGCATCCCTGGGAGCTTGGAGCCCCATCCCAACCCGGCTGAGCAAAGCCAGGCACTGCAAATCCATGGAATGCTCCTGCCCCTCCATGGAGGTGAGGGATTCCCATTCCTGGAGACACCTGTGACACCTTCGGGGTCAGAAATATCTCCCAAGCTTGGGTTTTTGGGGTGTCATTGGGACTTTCTTTTTTGGGGTATCATTGGGACCTTCTTTTTTGGGGTATCCCTGGGGGCTTTTAGACACCCTTGAAAAACAAACATTTTTCTTGTGCCTCCCAGAAGAATGACAAAATATTCCATACACTGAGCACGGTGTCCATAGCCAGCACAATGGCCCATCCCGCACCCTGCCCAAGCAGCTGAATTCTCTTTTCCCAAGGAAAAGGATCCAGAGGGAATCCATGAGCCAGGCCCATCCTGCTGGCCGTGGGTGGCCTCAGGCCCTGTGCCACCCTCCACTGCCCGCTCAGTGTCCACCACTCCACGGGAAAAGGGATTTAAATAATTAATTACCATGATAATTAAACCCCTTAAGATGCTCACTGCACTGAGGATCTCTGGGTGTTTTGCACAGGTTTAGAAGTTCCAGCTCCAGTTAAGCCAAGCTTGTTAAAACCATTGAATTATTGTATTGATATTAAATCACCCCGCAAGTGTTTCAGGGGGATTTTAGGTTGAAGTTCCACTTTCCCACAAATCCAACCGATTTCCAATTATTTCAAAACTCAAAAAAACCCAGGAATTATTTCTAATTTTCCAACTCCTGTTCTAGGTGTGCATCAACTACTTGGGGAATGTTTCAATAATTCACTTTTTATGAGTAGGATTTAATTTTTTCCCCATGCATGGCTGGGTCATGGAAGTGATTCCATCTCTGCCAGAGCTTGGATCTATCTCCAGTGGTTGGGCAGTGACCAGAGCTCCTGCCAGGCCAAAACCCTCAAGGAATAAAACCAAACCCAAAAAAACCCCCAAACCAAAAACCCCAAATCCCAAAAGAGCCTCAAAACCCCAATTTACTTCCCTCAAGCAGCCTCAAAACGGAATAAATGACTCAAACCAAGGCCTGCACCAGGACAGCTTCAGTCCATCCTCATGGACTCCCCCGTGAGCGCTGGAATTTCGGGAGCAGCCAGGATTTTACCGGCACTCTCCCTGCCCTGACCCGCTCCTGCCGTGGGATGGGTTTGATGTCACGGGCTAAAATTAAAACCCCTTTTGCTTGTGACTCTCATCAGCACCAGGGAGAGCAGGGAAGGCTTTTCCTGGGATCTAAAGCACAACAAAACTCGTTTCCCTCTCGCCAAAGCTCCAACCCCAGCCCAGGAGGGGCCACTCCAGGTGCCTCTGACAGCACCCCAATTCCCAGGCCAGGGAAATCCCCAAACCCTCAAAAACCCCACAGGCCCCGAGGCCTCTCCAGGGGAATTTGGGCAGGGGGCAGCCCCAGATTTCAGGGATTCTCCGGGAAGCAATTCCCAATTTCTGCCTGTCATTCCGGGGAGCTCCCTGGGTTGGAAGAGGCTCCACCAAGCCAGGCCCTGCTGCTGCCACCAACGGGCCAGAAATCCCTGAAAATTCAATAGATTTTGCTCTCCGTGGCTCTGGAGTATCCATTCTGCTAAAATACAATTAAATCCAAGACATCCTTTCCCTGCGTCCTGCTCCGGGAGGAATTAAAATGATAAATAATAAAGGAGAGCTTTACATACGGCCGAGACAGACGACAGAGGATAAAATTCCTGTCATGCCCAGAGGCTTTTCCCACACAGGATCAGACACAGCTCCCTGAAGCATCCTGTGCCTGGAGCCCATATTTCCTCCTCATTCCCTTTTTTTATGCCGAGAAATCCCAACCCAGCATCTCCTCCTCCTGCCCCCGACCTGCATCTCCACGGCTCGGCAAGAAAAAAACCATCTCGAGCTGCCATTCCCTGGTTTCCCACTGAAACGATGCTCATCCGCCCGGGGAAAAGCACCGAACGCATCCGGCAGCCGCACAGCCCCGGCCCCGTGCTGCGTGCGGGATAAAATCGGGATTTCGGGAGCCAAACCCGGGCCCTCCGCGGAGAGCCGGAATTCGCGCAGCCCGAGCTGCCTACACAGCGCTGGGGATGGAATTGCAAATAACCTGGCGGGCTCGGTGTTATATCACCAGCCCGGCCGAGCCTCCGACGGCTCGGGATTAGGGGGAGGGAAGCGCTCGCTGGAATTATTATTATTATTATATTATTTTATTTAGGAAAGGATGGAGCCGCGGGCCCCGCGGAGGAACGCGCCCCGCTCATCACCCACCTTCCATCATGGTGGCAGAATTGCATTCCTCAGTTTCCCGGGAGCCTGGAAAAACGCAGGAGAGTGCGGTGGCCGCTCAGCAGCGCTTCCCGGGCGGCGGCAGCAGCAGCAGGAGGAGGATGAGGAGGAGGAGGAGGGCGCGGAGGCCGCGCTAGGCGCAGGCCATGGATGCTGCTGCGCCTGTATCCCCGGGCCGGCTCGGCGGAGGATGCTCGCAGCAGGGAGGGCGAGCCGGGCTCGCCTCCCGCTCCTCACATGCGCGCTCGCTGCCGACACACCCCCGGCAGCGCTCCAACCTAGTTCCCAGATTATTTTTTTATTTATTTATTTTTTTCCCCTCCTTCCCCCCATCCCACCCTCCGTTTTCCCCAAAAGCAGAGCCCCTGTCCGCACCTCGTGACGCACTTCCCCTCCCTCAATCCCACTGCCATCAATTCCCGGCCGCGGAAAAGGGATCGATCCCGGCGGGAGGGGGCGGCGGGGACGGAGCCGGGCCCTGCTGCCGCCGCGGGGACAGCTCCGAAAGGAGGATGCGGAGAAATCCCTGCCCGGCTGCTTCCAGCGGCGCCCGGGAATTAGCCCCGCATGAAGGGAGAGCGGAGCGGGGAACAAAAGAGGCCGGGGAGGCGGCGGGGGGGCTGCGAGCGCTGCGGCCGTGCCCGTGTCCCCGCAGTGTCCCCCCAGTGCCACCTGCCCCGTGTCCCTGGGATGCCACCCCCGGCACCAGCTCCCCCCGTGTCCCTCTCCCCTTCCCAGCCCGTCCCGGGGCCGGGGGGGCTCAGCCTGAATTACGGGGATCCCGCCTGGTTCATCCAAGAAAATGCGGGATTTAAAGCGTCCCTGGCAAGCCCGGCTGTACCCAGCTCCTAAAGTCCCGGGTTTTTTTCCCCCTGGCAGGAAAGGCGTTCGAACCCCCCAGGATTCTCCCGGGACCCTCGGGACCGGCCCGGGCTCTGTCCCCACAGAGCCGGGACCGGCCCCGCTGCCCCCGGAGGAGCCGCCGAGCCCCCGTGTCCCCCTGGGCACAGCAGCGGCGGGCTGGGGACAGCCGCTGTGGCTTCTCAACGTGACCGCGGAGCGGGGATGGAAAGCTCCCTGCTGCCGCTCGCCCGCTCCAGCGCCCTCGGGATCATCCCGCAGCCCCACGTGCTGCCAGGATTCCTCCCTGCGCGGGAGCAATGCCCGCCTCGTTATCCCATTGAAAAAAAAAAAAAAAAGCTATTTTTCATTAATGACAATCAAATTTTTGCCCCATTGAAATAGGAAAAGAAATTTAAATTTAAATTTTAAAAATAAATAAAATAAAATCTATTTTCCCTCCCATTTAAAAAACGAATCCAAAAGCCCAGCACCTCCGAGGGTCTGGATAAGCCAGTGAGGGAAGAGGAGCTGAGCAGGGTCTCTGCACCCAGCCCTGCCCCAGCTGGGGAATGCCACGGCAGGGCCGGGATTACTGAGCAGATGGTCCTGTAATCCCTGCGAGCAGCTCCTGTGACCTGCCTGCCCCTCTGCCAGCGCGGGGACGGAGCCCAGTGCCCTCGGGAATGCTGAGCTAATCCCAGGCCGAGCACAGCCCCTGGAATGCTGTCCCACTGTCCCCTCAACAGCCAGGAGCCAGGCTGGCACACGTGGGAGACATCCCGCTGATGGACGGGCACCTTCCCTGCCCAAATTCCTGCTGGACGCACCCGAACAGCACCAATCCCCCAAAACCCACGGGCACAGCCCCGGAATTGCCATCCCTGGCTGGAAGGGCCTGCAGCAATGGAATGCTGTCCCACTGTCCCCTCAACAGCCAGGAGCCAGGCTGGCACACGTGGGAGACATCCCGCTGATGGACGGGCACCTTCCCTGCCCAAATTCCTGCTGGACGCACCCGAACAGCACCAATCCCCCAAAACCCACGGGCACAGCCCCGGAATTGCCATCCCTGGCTGGAAGGGCCTGGAGCAACCCCAGGGGAAGGGGTCCCTGCCATGGCAGGCCCGGATGGGCTGTAAGGCCCTTCCAAGCCTGAATCTGGGCATTCTGTGGTGCCACATCCAGAACAGAGCCAGTGCCCTTTGCCCACAGCTCCAGAGGGCTGAAATTCCTGCGGCAAACAAGGGGAGCCAGGATTCCCCTGCAAACCCCTTCCCAGGCATGGACACAAAAACCCTTTCCACCAAATTCCAGCACCGGGTCTGGGCAGCCCCCAGCACACCTGGGGATCCTCCCAGGCAGCTCCAGCTTTCCCTGGATCCATGGATGGCTCAGCCCTGGGAAACACGGGGCCTGCCCAAAACTGCCCCTTCTGTGCCCAAAACGAACCCCACAAAGCTGCCCCTGGAGCTTCCCAAGGAACCGTGCCACAGGGAGAGCCTGGAGCACTCCCGTGTCCCTGGGGCGGGCAGCTGCCACCACACCCCTGTCCCCGAGGCAGGGCCGGCATTCCCAAAGGTTGGAATGTGACTTCCAAACGCCCCCCGGCCCCACTGAGCCGCCTCAAGGACAATTCCCATGAAAAGCCCTGGAAACCTCCAGCAGCTCCCGAAGGAGAGGCACGAGGAGGAGCTGCCAGCAACAGATGAAGTCAAGGGCCTGAAGATTAAAAAAAAAAAGGGAATGGAAGCGGCAGAAAGTGAGTCACGGAGCGCATTACTCACTGCCGGCAGTCAGCCGCGGCTCCATGTGACAGCCCGAGCGGCGCGGCCCCGCGGCAGCGCCGGGATTTGCTAAATAAAACCCATAAACCCCCAATCCCCGGCCTGCTCCGGGCAAATCCCCCGCTCACAGCAGCCAGGCTGTGCGCATCGCCCCTTCCATGGGCCGGGATTAAACCCGGGTGGGACCGGGCTCAGCGCGGGGCTGATCCTGCCGGGAGGGGCCGGAGCTGCGGCAGCGCGGGATGGAGCTCCCGGGAAATCGGGAGATTGAGCCTTTCTCCTCTTCCCTGTGAAACTGGGACAGGGACACCTCCCACTGTCCCAGGTGCTCCAGCCCCAGTGCCCAGCCTGGCCTTGGGCACTGCCAGGGATCCAGGGGGAGCCACAGCTGCTCTGGGAATTCCAGCCCAGCCCCTGCCCACCCTGCCAGGCAGGAATCCCTTCCCAACATCCATCTAAATCTACCCCAGGTACTTCAAATCTACCCTGGGATACTCCAGAGTATCCCAGCAGGAGCAGGGCTGGAGAAGAGCACCAGGAAAAAGGAATTTCTGATGGACACACTCACTGCACCCGCAGGATTCCTGCTCCAACCCCCAAAACCCCACCACAACCAGGCCCAGGAGGGAGAACAGCACCAGGAAAAAGGAATTTCTGATGGACACACTCACTGCACCCACAGAATTCCTGCTCCAACCCCCAAACCCCACCACAACCAGGCCCAGGAACACCCCAAATCCCAGAGGAAGGTCCCTGCACGCCCCACACTGGCTCCCACCTTGCTCTGCTCCTGCTCTTCCTCCCCAGCTCCAGGATCAGCCCCGGGCCCTCCCTCAGCCCTGATAACCAGGGACTAATCAGGATAATCAGCACCACCCCGGTGGGCACCAGGTGCAGCTGCCCCGGGTGCTCCAGAACGCTGATAATTGATTCATCTTTAATTTTGGGGGCAAGGAAAGGCCTTCGGGAGCACTGGCAGAGCCTCGTGCAGGCCTGGGGGGCTGCAGGAGCACCCCCATTTCACAGCACGGGCCTCACCTGAAGAGTCATTGAGCCATTTTGGGTTTGATCCCTGGAATGGGCTTTAGGATGGGGATGGATCCGTCCCCTGTGCCCCCAGGATCAGTTCATCCCCCTGCCCACACCATTCCCGTGGGCTTTGGTTCCCGGCACTGGAATGGAGATTTGCCTCCTTGAGGTAAAATTTCACAGCTGTGTAAAGAAACCCAGAGAAACAAACGCTGCCCTGACATAACCCAGAGCTTCAGAAATGCCAGTGGAGCCTGCCATTAAAATTTAAGGTGTCTTAGGGTGTCCTCCTGGTCACCTTTGGGCCTGTCTGCTCGGGCCACGGCGAATAAAGAACATTGAATTCTTCTTAAAATTGACTTTTCACAAGAAAATAAAAAAATTAAAAAAAGAAAAAAAAAACCAACATGGGAAGGGGGCAGAGGTGGGGGCGGTGCTGGGGAACATCTGGGGCAGCAAGGGCAGAGGGAGCCCTGGAGCATCTGCCTCCAGCTGTGCGGGATTCCAGCTGTGCGGGATTCCAGCTGTGCGGGATTCCAGCTGTGCCCGGCTCCAGCTGTGCGGGGATCCAGCTGTGCCGGGATCCAGCTATGCAGGGATTCCAGCTGTGCCCGGCTCCAGCTGTGCGGGATTCCAGCTGTGCGGGATCCAGCTGTGCGGGGATCCAGCTGTGCTGGTGATCCAGCTGTGCGGGATTCCAGCTGTGCCCGGCTCCAGCTGTGCAGCCCGCGCTGTGCGAGCGTGTCCCCGCCGTGTCCCCGGAGCGGCCATTCCCCATTCCCGGGGCATCCCCGGCTCCGGAGCGGCCCGCGCCCTGTGCAGCGCCGGGAGCTCGGCAGATGGAGCTGTGCAGCTGCGCAGGGCCGGGCCGGGCAGATGTGCGGGCCGGACAGATGTGCGGGCCGGACAGATGTGCCGGCACCTCGTGCTCCCCCGGTCCTGCCGCCCCCCCGCGCCCCCTCTGCTGTCCCCAGTGTCCCCGGCAGTGCAGGGACAGGGGTGGGGACGGTGCCGCTCCAGGGTGGCAGAAATGCCCTCAACAGAGCTGGCAGCAGGGCTCGGGGACAGGGGCACCTCGGGAATGGGAATTCTTGGGTTTGGGCTCCTCGGGTCACCCCAGAAGGGACATTTGGGAGAGCTAAAGCACCCAAACCCACCTTACACCCCATCAGCCAGGCCACAACTGCCCTGTCCCCGTGTCCCGCAGTGTCCCAGTGCCAGGCTGGCATCTCCCCCTCCCACGGGAGCTGCTGCTGCTGCCGGGAGCCCTCGGCCCCGTTCCAGCTCGGATGAAATCTGGGCTCTGTGCTCCTGCCCCAGCTCCTTCCTGTTTTTGGCTGCAGAGCTGTCAGAGCGTCACAATTTCACTGCTCCTTGCTCATCCACTGCAGACCCAGGTGAACCCAAATCCCCTCGGCTGGCAAAGAGCTCCCGGCACCCTGCAGACCCTCGTGGCTGGATCGGGACCTGGAACGCTCCATCCCAAGCAGAGGGACACGGGGCTGTGCTCCAGGATGGAAAGACATGGAATCACTGAGGCTGGAAGAGCCCTCTGAGGCCACCACTGGCCGTGTCCCCAAGTGCCACATCCTTTAAATCCCTGCAGGAATGAGGACTCACCACTGCCCTGGGCAGCTGTTCCCACATCTGGCCACCCTTTCCATGAAGAGATTTTCCCAAATATCCAACCCAAATCTCCCCTGGTGCCACTTGAGGCCATTTGGTCCCTGGTTCTGGCTCTGTCACACATCACTGGTGAGCCCCACTCATCCCCAACTCCCATGGAACGAGGGAAAAAGGAGATGGAAATGCAGCTGCACCCCAGGAGAGCAGGCTGAGCTGGGAAAAGCTGCAGGGCTGGTTGATTATTTTATTTCTCTGCATCGCAGTCTCTGTGAACAAGGGTGACCTCGGGTCAGAAGTTTCCTGGCAGTGGCAGGGGCTCAGTGGGACCCTTGTCCCCCCTCCCTGGGAAGGGCTGGATCTGCTCCCACTGCTCATCCCTGGGGCTGATGCCCTGGGTGGGTTTAGGGCTGGTGGAAATCCCCCTGAAATCCCTCAGTGGGAAATGATGTCCTTGGGGACAAGGCCAGCTGTCGCTCAGGGGCTCTGGTGACATCTGTGGTTAGTGGTGGCAGCAGGGAGGGGACAGATCCCTGTGCATCCCTGCACATCCCTGTCCCGGGAAGGAGCAGCCCCCGAGCTGGGGTCCCTCACCTTCCACCCCACACACAGCAGGAGCTGCTGGGAGCCCTGGAAGTGACCTGGGGACCACCAGGGAGGGCGGCAGCCCCACCAGGTCCACTCGGGAGCCAGGAGGAAGCTCCACATCCCTGCTCCCCCTTCCCGTGCCGAAGGAACCCGTGCCAATCCAGCTCTGGACGGGAGGGCGGTGAGGCTGGGCACTGCAATCCTCATCCCCCGAGGAACGGCGGGCGCTGAGCCAGCCGATCTCCCAGCACCTGAACTGGGGTTTGCACCCTAAAACCAGGGGGAAAGCAGGAGGGTCCGCTGGGTTTGGAGGTGCGGCGGCCGCTGGAACCTTTCCCGGCCGCTGCTGCGGGGAGGGAGCAGGGAGAGGCGGCTCTTCCCGGCTCCAGGCTGCCTGCACCCCGGGGAAACTGCCTGGCAGGACTGGGTCAGGAAGGGACAGAGAGAGGGGAGGGGGCACGGGCAGGGCACCCCCGCCCCGGGCACCCTCTCTGGCACCCCGGCCCTGCTTCACCCGCAGCCCCGGCGCTGCTGCTCTCTCCCGGGTTGTGCTTTCCCCCCAGAAGTGCCGGTGCTTTTCCAGCCCAATCATCCCTTTCCCATCCCTTTCCCATCCCTGCACATCCCGGGAGCCGCCCGGGAGCCATGGGCAGGACGCGGCTGCCACAGCCCAGGGATGTGGGAAGGATGAGCTGGGGTGAAGGGGGGATGGTTTAAATTGAAAGGGGAGAGATTTAGGTGGGATACTGGGAATGAGGAATTGTTCCTGGCAGGGTAGGCAGGGAATAGAATTCCCAGAGCAGCTGCGGCTGTCCCTGGATCCCTGGCAGTGCCCAAGGCCAGGCTGGACACTGGGCCTGGGGACAGTGGGAGGTGTCCCTGCCACGGCAGGGGTGGCACTGGGTGGGCTTTAAGGTCCTTCCAACCCAAACTAATTCTGAGATTCCGTTAATCCACTGAGAAAGACAAATCACTGCTGGCCCTTCAAGGAGTTTCTACCAGGGAATTTTCACCACGAGTCTCAGAGGTTGAAACCCTGGGAAAATCCCCCAGGATCCACTGGGACAGCAGGGATGTGACAGAAGGTGGCCTGGCAGCGGCTGCCCCGCGGGGCGCTGGCTGGGAATGCAGGATGAGATCCACACTTGTTTTCCCGTGGCTTCACTTGGGAGCCAGCGGATCCAGGGAAAGCCAGCGGAGCCCCTGGGGACACCGCCGGTGTCACCCGCGGCGAGGGCGGCACCGGGCCCCGCTCTCCTGCCCTGGCACAGGATGTTTTTTACTGGAAAGTCGCTTGTTTTGGGTCAGGCCGGGACATGAAAGCTCCGGCGGGCCGGGCCGTGCGCGGCCAGCGCTTCCTGTCTGCGCTCGCCTTCCTGTCGCCTCCGCTGCCAGCGCAGGAAGGACGAGGTCCCAGGCGCCCCAGGAACACTGGCCGTGCCACCAGGAATCTCCTCTGCCCGTCCTCAGGAACGGCTCCACCGGCACCACTGGGAATGGAGGCTCTGGGGCTGGACATGGAGCTTCTGGGCGCTGGCCGTGGAGATTCTGGGCTTGGGACATGGAAGGTTCTGGGTTTGGGACATTGGAGGTTCTGGGTTTGGGACATTGGAGGTTCTCGGTTTTGGACATTGGAGGTTCTGGGTTTGGGACATTGGAGGTTCTGGGTTTGGGACATGGAAGGGTTATGGGTTTAGGATATGGAAGGTTCTGGGCTTGGGACATTGGAGGTTCTCGGTTTTGGACATTGGAGGTTCTGGGTTTGGGACATGGAAGGGTTATGGGTTTAGGATATGGAAGGTTCTGGGTTTGGGACATTGGAGGTTCTCGGTTTTGGACATTGGAGGTTCTGGGTTTCAGACAATGGAGATTCTGGGTTTTGAATGTTGGAGGTTCTGGGTTTCAGCCACTGGAGGATTTTGCATTTTGGTCGTAGGAGGGTTCTGAGTTTTGGCTGTAGGAGGGTTCTGGGATTGAGCCATGGGAGGTTCTGGGTTTAGGATATGGGAGGTTTTGGGTTTCAGCCATTGGAGGGCTTGGGGGTTTGGGTCCAAGAAGGTTCTGGGTCTCAGCTGTGGGGGATTCTGGGGTATGGCTGCAGGAGGGTTCTGGGGTTTGGCTGTAGGGGCGTCCTGGGCTTTGGCCAAAGGAAGGTTCTGGATTTCAGCTGCGGAAGATTCTGGATTTCAGCTGTGAGAGGTCTTGGATTTTGGGTGTGGGAGGTTTTGGATTTTGGCCAAGGAAGGTTCTGGCTTTCAGCCATCAGAGGGCTTTGTGTTTTGGCCACATCAGGGTTCTGGGTTTTGGCCCTAGGAGGGTTCTGGGATTCAGCTGTGGGAGGTTCTGGGTTTTGGCTCTAGGAGGGTTCTGAGTTTGGAGGGTCCCATTTTCTGTCCCCCAAGCAGTGGTGACACGGCCCACACTGTCTTGCTGACAAAAGCCCCCTGAGGAGCCGCAGGCTGGGTCATGCTTTCATTTATTCACTTCATATAAAAATCTCTTAAGAATGCGTCTGAACACAATATAGAATACTATAACATACATAGTGTGAAACTTTGGGGAACAA